AGGGCATTCGGTGGATTAGGCCACACCATTGGCATATTTGACAGGCTAATACTCTATTCATAAAGTTATTTCATCGGTGGCTCTTCTGGAACCGCTATGGGGGGTAAAGGGTTAAATATCAGATAAAAAGTTGAATAAAAATGATACTTCTTACTCATTTTTCAATATTCACTTGGTACATACCTACTGAAAATCAAAGTTAATCTTATCTAAAAATTTCGCGATACTTCCTATTTGCATGAATTGTTTTCTTTTTGAGAATCGATTGCAATCAAATTCTTCTGGAAACTATAATCAGATGATCATCGTTTAGAATTGATTATAGGCGGTTGAAATTATAATTTAATCGAGAAATCTAAGTTTAATAGGTTTCCATTCAGGTCTTAATACACAATAATCTCGTTTACGATTGGGATTATGTCGCTAGAATTTCTAAAGTTTAACCACCGAAATTTGACTCTCAAATAGATCGATCTGTTTCTCGATTACTCAATCCTCCACCCTCAGATTGTTTTTTGAAATGACCATTAGCTATTTTATTTAAACCAGTTATTTATTGAAGGTTATTATTAATTCAGTTAATGTATAAACGATGATCTGAGTTTATGAAAAGCTGACAATTGACTCGATGGTAATTGCAATATTGAGACCCTCTGTCAATTTCTAAAGTACAAGCTCATCACTGGATTGACTCAGTAAAAACATTTTATCGAACTGTTCTTGATACTTTTCATGTTAGGATCATCGAATATCATAAATGCTTGACGTCCAATATCGACAGCTTTCTATGCATGTTGAAAAGCATCATCAATTTTGTTCAAACGTTCAAAAATAATCGATTTATGAAAATGAGTTTCAGCTAGATGTGGATGATTTGGTTTTAGAACTTTTTCTTGAATCTCAAGTGCTTTTTCGAGACAATCTAGAGCACGTGAATGATCGTTCATTGTAGAATAGAGTAAACCGATGTAATTATACGTTATTGCCAAGCAAGGATGAGTAGGAGTTAAATGTTCGTGTAATATTTGTAGTGCATCCTCATGATAAGCCCATGCTTCCGACAATTTTCCCTGCTGTTTTCTTATCCAACCAATATGATTGTAACGATCCACTATGAGTTGATAATCAAGCGGACCTAACTGTTTTACAGAGAAATCAAGATATAACGTGACCACTTTGTTCAACAGGTCGGCCATAGCTGAGTGAAATGTCTCCTCATTAATTTGTTCGCTACAAAGTACATTTCTGATTGTCGACAATACATTGATCAAGTCACTCCTAGCTTCATCGGCAACATTACTCACATCAGGTATTGCTGTATTAAACATCTCGTGTAAATGTGCTCTTGCTTGTTTCCAATCATGCTTGTATCATGCAAACAATTCAGCTAGTTGATAATGCGTTATTTTTATAAACTTTAAATTATTTTCGTGTGTGGCCTTATCAAGAATCACTTCATATATTTTAATTGCTTTGTCGTATTCACCCATATACACAAGTAGTTTACTTAATCGCCATGTAGGATCCATATTGATTTGAAATTTAGAGTAAAAGGAAGAGCTGGGATCTATACGCATATGTTCCGTTAATTGACGAAGTTTTTCATCATCGGCATCAGTCAATGTTAAATGAACCTTCCAAATTTGTGGATTGTTATCGTCATTCAATGGTTTTATTTCACCAATACGAAATACGGTATTCATCGAAAACACTATTTCTTTTTCTTGCTCTTGAAAATAGCTATGCTTATCAAGTGATGCAAATGCTATCGATGGATCGATATTTATTTCGAATAGAACAGCCACTTTTTCTGGGTTCTGTAGAGCTTTTCGAGAAAAACATAGTGAAACTTCTTCCGATGTGCTTGCGTCGACAAAAAATTATTAAACGAAATGAGACCATCTTGATTTTGTTTCATTCGATCTAATGCGGCCGGTAGTATCCAATTCCAATTAAAAATGAATAAGAGATCTACTCATTTTTGGCACTACGTGTTAGGAATTTATGATGAAAGTTAAAAATTTAAACTATCTTCATAGTACAGTTTCGTGGGCTCGAAATTTATATCAAATGAACAAAAAAAATCTGTTTACTCAATTTTTGAAGATTCTTCGAATCCATCTTTCACTTATTAAGATCTACTAAGATCTGTTCTCACTTACAGTTTCACGTACAAATATGAAATAACGATAGAAAAGGTGCTGCTGTACAATTACTTAACCTTGACCTCGATAGACAGTCAATATCTCACTATTTTTCATTGTTTTATGAAGATGTTGAAGCTGTTGATGAAGATCAAAAATAAAGAAGTTCATTTTGATCAAAATTTCCATATCTTGCTTACATAGAGCTCGATTTAGCATTGAATACATAAAACATTCACGTGTATACCACCAAATCGGAGATGGATTGCTATAATTTTGCTTGAATTCTTCAATTACACACAATTCTGCATTATTCTGAGCGTAGCAAATTCGACAAAAACTAATAAAATCTTCTTTCACTTGTTCACGAGTTGCATTATCATATTCTATACTGAGTATAATATCTTTGAGTAACTGAGAGTACATGAATGAAGCATCAAGTTGATTAGAAATTTTTAATGTTTTTGAACCGAGTGTTTGAATAGAAGTTAACTCCTGCTGACAATGTTTTATATCTTCCTTGAGTTGATTACATATATCTTGAATACCTGTAAAGATACCTTTGATTTTACGATGTTGTTCTTTCGTAGCCCATTGTTCATATTTGAATTTGTTAAAACAAAACACATTAATCGAATCAAGTTTAATGTCATGTTCAATGCTAGGTACTGGTAGCCGCCCCAGCGAGCCCGAAACAATCAAAAAGACCTTTTCTTCTTTCACTTTATTGTCAATAAAATCAATACATGATTCACACGTATAAAATACCTTGATTGAATTGACAATACTGCGGAGTGCTGTAATCGATGCCTGAATATCATCATCCGTCGTATTTCTGTGACGAAGCTTCGCGTCCACCCAGATAATGATAAAGTTTTCAATGAAACGAGTTTCTTGTTGTTGATGAGCCATAACTTATTCACGTACGTAGATCGTTGCTTTCTTTATCAAAAGATAGTTATTTTAACATACTTCCTATCAAATGATTGATCAAAAAAATGAGAAATTGTGACCCACTTCACTGAGGTTATTATAGTCAATGAAGCATGGTAATTAATTTGAAGTAACAAGTCGTGTGCATTTTTAGTGTAGAACACACTAAAAAAAAACATTCTCAAAATACCATAATGAGATACTCTACAACCTTGACGAATGATGTATAAATTTAATATTCATTGTAATCAATAAAAGGTAAAGGCATTGCTTTTCAGAATAGGTTAGAAAGTATAGAATATTCAACTTCCTCGACTGAAGAGAAAGTCATATGAAATAAAATGAATTTGCTTGCTTACAGGTGTAGAATCACGTGTGCACGGATATTTGTGTGACGATTTTTTTATGAATTGCTTTCAAAGATGATAGCGATCGAAAATTTCGAGTCTGTAGTCAGTTTTTCGAGATTTTTATTTTCATTTTCTCCTTGATCGTTCATTATCCTTATATGGTGGTATTTATTTTAATTAGTGTCAGAGAAAAACATAGAGTAGTGAGTTGTAATTGTATGCTTGTGATTCTCTAAATTGTGACATCGAGGGTGTGGGTGTGAGTGTGGGTGGGGTGTGGGTGTGGGTGTGGGGTGTGGGTGCTGGATAAGAGAAGAAGCACCCACCCACACCCACACCCTCCACACGTGTCTCAAAATCTTCTCAGATGTGATCGCCAGAGCTATCTAGCGTGGTGAGTGCCCGTGCAAAAAAAGTGAAGCTGCTGATATTAGTTGAATGAAGAGAGAAAGAGAGTCATCGGGTGTGTGTGGGTGTGGAGTGGGGTGTGTCAGTGGCTGTGGCTGTGGGTTGAGTGTGAGTATGGAGGGTGGATGAAGAGAATCATGCCTACATAGCCATACCCATACCCATACTCACACCCACCCACAACCACACCCCACACCCACACCCCACACACCCACACCCTCACACACACCCACACACCCTTATATCTAACCCTAACCCTCAAATCTATACTTAACTCTTAAATCTATTGTTAACCCTTAAATCTATGCTTAAACTTTATATCTATCCATAACCCTTGTATGTATCTTCAACCCCTTATATCTTTATTTTAACTTTTAGTTGTATCGTTAACTTCCTAAACCTGAATCAAAACTCTCAGATATCTATTCTTCACTGCTCTTTTCTAAAACGACATCCATGTATCTATCGTTACCCTCTTATCTCTGTATCTAAACCCTTAAATCTATCCTTTAACCCCTGACAGCTACATCTTTGCCATTATATATATAGGTCACTGCTTAAACTTGCGTCTATACTGTTATATCTATCCCTAGCAGTTTATTACGGTTTGCAAACTTTCATATATACTCTCAGCCTTTTGTATCTATATCTATATCCGTATATTGATCATTAACTGCTTATCCCTAAATCGAAATGGTTACATGCATTCTGAACAGCTTATTCTTAAGTGGATTTCATGACACCTATTGTTCATCTCATTATTGTTAAATCGAACCTTTAAACCCATTCTTATCTGCTCATTCCTAAATTTAAAGCCATATGTCTATCATTAAGACGTTATTTCTATATCTTAATGTCTTTATCTAGCCGTAAGACGTTAGTTCTTTGACGAACAGTAGTGCTCATTTGTGATACATGAAGTCTGAGAGCTGTCGTTCAATGTCTAGAATGAATTGTAGCGTCTATGTAAATGCAGAAACAGACCAATGATGTTAGATCAGCCCAATGTCTGCTTGGGGAACATGTGTTCTTGGTATAGATGGTATAAGGAAAAAGCTTGGTTTCCTGTGAAACCTCTAGACAGTGAGACCTCTATAAGGTTTGCTGTGGAACTTTTTTCGACTAGGAAAGATCACTTATGGTTTTCACGAAACTTGATTGACTACAAAATCTTATAAAGGTTCTGCACACTCTCACGATACCTGAAAAGGTTCCGTATATGAGGATGAAACCTCAAAAGTTCGGTAATGTACCTTTTTTTTCAGTGTAGTATGTCCACTAGGGAAACGGAATGCAGTTGCCGAAAATTGATTTGGTGTCCAGATACCTGTTGAGTTTCCTGGAAACCAATATAAAGCATCATATGGGTGTGGGTGTGGATGTGGGTGGGTGCTTCTTCTCTTATCCAGCACCCACACCCATACCCTAGCATTTCTCAACAGCCACTCATTATAGATAAGTAGTATTTCGGTTATACTATTCGAACAATAGCCGAGTTCATACTGAACTTTGTGAAACAATTTCTGTAAAACTTTAACGGGCTGTGCTAATTAAGCGAGATTAACACTTTATAAATTCCAGTACGAATACGTGAACAACATAAAAATAAAAATGAACAATATTAAGATCAAATTAAACATCAAAAACAACAGAGAGTAGAATTCAGGATTAATATTGTGGGACACTAGAAGATTATGTATTTTGGGTGGTTGTTATCATCGGGTCTATTACTCTTGATAGTTTTCGAATGCATATCATGATGATTTTCACAATTCGTGGTATAGTCAGTTTTAAAATTGTAATCAAACCGCCAAGAAGTCCAATCACTCTGGTAATTATATATATAGCATCATTCTTAGTATCTACACCATATGTGCATTGTAGAGGTTCACATTCTCTATAGAAACTTTCGAAAGTGAAAGATGAATTCCATTGTTCAACCATTAAACTATTAATTATTTCTTCGATTGTTGTGTTTGTGTCATAGTTATAAAGTAGGGACGAACTAAGAGCTATTCTACTAATTGTAGTTGGTGCTCCAATATAACTGAGAAACTTATCTAAGCATGCTTGATCATAAAAACATTCTAGACTCGAATGAAGAAGTGATTCAATGACATAACATCCATAATAAAAACCGGTTATGAAAAACACCGTTGTCCCATTCCAATTGCCAAAAATGCTTGAGGAATAAAGGCATGCAGCGCTGTTAGTACACCAACAATCTGAGTACAACCGTGGAGTTGTAGTTATAAACCAGTACCATGTAAAGTCATAGAAAAAGAAATTTGTTTGGAGTGCTGACATCAATAAATTTGCTTGCGTTGTTTCACGAATCATTTTTAGAGATAAAACAAATTCCTTTGTTGTTGATGCTATAATTTGGCTAATTACGGCTTGAATTTCAGCATGAAGCAAAGTTGAAGTCACTACATATGGACTGAAATATTCAGTTGAATAAAGATTAATCAACTTATTGGAAATTGTATCATTCACCAAACGACAAAGCATGGTGAGCGCCTGGAATGTAAACGAACCCGTAGCACGGAAATCCAAACTATATGTAGCGACTTGAGAACTTGTAGAAGCTAGAAATTTAATCCATTCATCACTGACAAAATCGCTTGTACATATTTGATGAAGAGTAAAGTTAATTTGAAGGAACTGTTCATATTTGATCAATGGCTTGGTGCACGGGCAAGTTAGTGTACCTGAATGTTTTGAATAGAGTTGTGAATATTTTGTGAAGGTTGGTTCTTTAACAGTGATCGTTTTGTGAATGACTACCAATGAATTGTAGAGAATGAGAATCGAAAATGATAAAGTAAATACAATGATGAACACTATTGTTGATGTTCTTTGATTTCGAAGCTCACGTGGATCAGTTGAAGGTGGGATTGATGGGAAAAGATTCAACTTTTGAAGATATTGCTTCGGTTTCCGACACATGTCACAATACTGTTGAACTATTCGCATAGCTAAAGCACAGAAATAGAAAGTTATACTCTATTTGGTTCTATTCATGAGTAAAGAGACAGAAATGATTTTTCTAAAGATTTGAAAAATCTATACACCTTTTTCTAGTGTTTTCAAAAGTCAAAAATATAAAAAAGAGAATCAAACAATGCTCTATTTTCATATTTTCTAGAAATTCTACTTTACTGCTGATGTTTCCATCTGAGTACCAACTGTGACTGATTGTGAATAATATGAATATGATATATTTATTTGGGCTCAATCAGTGTTCTACTCGAGTTTGGTGAGATCACATAAAAACTCTTTAGATTGAGTCGAATTATGAAAAAAATGGATTTCTCAGTAGATTGCCAGTCTGAATATGCTGATAATGGCAAAGATATTTTGAGTGCTTCTCGTCATTTACAAGTTCTATCATTGAGCTTGGCGAAACTTAATAAAACAAGAAATTATGTATCACTAGGACTTTTCTTCTAATTCACTGATATTGTTTTTACTGATGTCGGGTACCGATGAATAACGAGTGCAGTTTACTCGATGGTGATATAAATATCACAAGTTGTACCTATCACAAAACAAAAACAAATATATCACATAGTTGTCTTGTTTCAAATGAAAAATATCAGGAAAACATAAAAAAACGAAAGGTGGGCTAGAATATTTGTTTTGTTTGTAACCGTGAAATGAAAGGAGAAAAAGGATAAAGAAATATACTTTCTCAAGAGAAAAAAACAGAGTAATCAATAGTTGAATTGGTTGCGGATCGGATCGCAAAATATTTGACACAAAATCGGACATTCGTATATTGTCATAGAGACTTCAGTGTATTTACCTCTTTGTTCTTCATTTGACGTACATAAGGATCTCATAAATTGCATGATGCGATGCACACTAAGTTTTAACATTGTTATCAACCCACCAAGGAGCCCAATTACCATAGTAGCAATGTATGTGACATCGTTTCTATTGTCTGCATTATATGTGCATTGTATTGGACGACATTCTTCATAGTAGTTTTCAAACACGACCGATGAATTCCATTGTTCTACCATCAAATTATCAATTATTTCTTCAATTGTTGTACTTATTTGATATTTATATAATAATAATGGGTTAAGCGCTGTTACATTCATACGGACTGATGACTCAAAATAATTTTGTAACGTATCCAAACATTCTTGGTTAAAAAAACATTCAAGATTAGAACGAAGAGCAGATTCAATTATATAACATCCTACATAGAAA